GGGGATGGGTTGAGAGGTTACAGCGAGCTGTGGTGGATGTGGGGCGCACTGGGGCTGTGAGGATGGGCTGGGGGAGCCCTGAGGGTTTGGTGCTGCCCGTGGGACGAGGGGTGAGAGGAGGCCGGTGGTGGAGCCCCACGGGCTCGTGTGCCCCAAGGCGAGGAGCGGCAGGGCCCGGCGGGCTGGGAGAGGAGAGGAGGCTGTCTGGAGCGGGCGCTTCCAGGGCTGGGTGCTGCCCGGTGGTGGCGTGTCCCCCAGGGATCCAACTGCTGCGGGCGACGGGGTTGTGGATGCCGTGGACTGGTGTAACTGGGAAAATGTGATGTGTTTGGAGGAGGGCTCCGGGTCAGGGTGCTAGCCGAGGCTGCTGACTCTGAAGCTAGGACGTGCGTAGGTTCCCACGGCGAGGAATGCTGCTGGATGCATTTCCTGGGGCAGATGTGCAGCCGGGTGTTCGGCAAGGCGTCCTCTCCCGGCTCTTGCTCCACACACGCTCGCCCTTCCTCAGTCATTTTCATGGCTTGCAGTAATACTCCTCTGCTGCGGGTCTCGGGTCGGCTGTGCTGGGGGCTGCACAAGCAGATGGAGGGCAGAGTCGTTTGCTTTTTCAGCATTTCAAGTACTGTGCTATGTGATTTGCTCTGTTTTGAAGCTCTTAGACCTTTGTTAGTTTTTTTCTCCTCCCCTTTTTTTCGGCATCTCCTAAGCAAACCACTTGCTGGTGTGTTTCTTGAGTTGCAGCTTTTTGCCATTTCAGCTTCTCTGCTGGAAATGCTGCTGCTCCTGTTCCCTGAGAAACTGGTTTATATTGGGGCAGGAGGAGGAGATTTGAGTCCAGCGCTGAGTGATGCTGTCACTGTGTGGCTTGGCTATTTAGAAGGATATGACTTGCCCGTTTGTGGCCACATTTGATCCACTTTTCCTTTCGCATAACCTTATCAGAGCTCCGCTGTTGCACATTGAGCTGAACGGCAGAGACCCGCTGACACGGAGAGCTTGCGCTTTCCCGATGCGAACATTTGCTTCTCTGAAATGTAAATCTGCTCTTGGGTCAAACTTTATTCTTCTCTTTTAATATATTAAACACTCTGAGCCCTTGTTTTGAGTGGGAAATTGCTCAGACCACTTCAGGCTTGTCTGCGTTAGAAGATGGATGTACTTGCAGGGTGTTTAGATAAAGTGGAGAGGGCCAGTGAGTTAAATACACACCACGAGTGTTATCAGCCTCTTGTTCTAACAGCTCTGCCGCGCTTTCCAACAACGTGTGGTGATGACGGCGACCTTTTTCCCCCCCGGTAAGACAATGGCTTGTGGTTCCAGCTGATTTGTGGAGTGGGCAGGCTGTTTGACGGCTGATCAGTTAGTGTGATTTTTCACGTGTACACGTGGTTTTGTGTGCAGACGTGTATCTGAAGGATGGTGGTTGTCACAGCTGTCATTCATAGCTTCTGTGTTCATTAACTCGGCTGTCTTAAACGTCTGTCAGTTGACGCTATAACAATCCCTTTCTCCCACCAAGCTTCCCAATCCCTGAACCCTTTTCTCCCAGCTGCTGCGTTACAGTCAGACTTTTTGCATGTTTACGAGAGCGCTTCTCGTTCTGGAAGCGCGTTGGTGTCCCCAGCATGTTGGGAGTCATTGCAGCGCATCGCTACCTTGCTGTCTGAAATCTGCAGCAGTGTCCCTGCAGTTACGAGACTTTGCCTGCGCACCCCGCGTGGATCGTGACCTCCGTACCGCGTTTGTACGAGCAGATGCTGCGGTCTT